CTATTCGTCTTCATCACACCACTAATATATTTGTAGGCTTCAATCATATCCTCCTCTCATGTCAGTCTTCTATTTTTCAGGCTCCCTCGTTGCTCCTAATAGGGAAGGAGTTCCACAGTTCTAGTCATCCTTTCTGTCCTTCTGTTTTTTGTGTATTATTTTAGATCGGAAAAGAGCACACAGTAATGGGGATGGAAAACCAATATAGCCTTATACATGTTCTTTACTCCATCCCTAATTCTTAACATTGTTTCTGTGCAGTTTTTGGTGGGTTGTTGTTTTGTTTTTTTTTTTTTACTTGCTACTGAGGTTATGTTTTCTTAAATCTATCTATTGAGTTATATCTAGTCAAAAAGGCTACCTCTAACAGAACTAGCTGAAAATACTTGAAAAGGTTTTCAGACAATTTGAATATGTAGTAAAGAACAGCTAGGAAAGATAACGAAATTTGGACAAGGACATCAACTACCAACTTGTGGAGTAGATAAACTGAGGCAACAGTAAGCCTGTTCTAATTCAGTCATCTAGCATCCAAGCAATGAGCTAAAGAGCACTAAAATTCAGGCAATGAATCTGACTGAACGGTACCAGAAGTAGTTCCAGTAAAAGCAGAATGACTATGATGTCTCTGAAAACAATTTTTCTGGAGACACCCTAAGGTCAGCAAAGTCATCTAGCCTTTGCTGAACCTTTGATTGTTGCCTTTGAAAGGAGGAAGAATGGAAACATACATCAGCTTTTGCAACCATTCTATTTTGCTCTGGAGCAGACAATTCTTATTGATGTCCGAGTCAAAAAGATGGCAGACAAGATACTCCAATCCTGAAATACTTACATAGTATTTTCTTGAATGTCACTTTCACAAGCTAGCAGTTTAAATGAATTCATCTAAGGCCACAGTCTCTGTAACACGGATTACCTATAGGTGGATGCAGCAGCAGTCTGTTCAGTTCCAAAGAGTAGCTGCTTTATTGCAAGGTTGAAGGTTTTGCTCCATCCTATTCTACATCAAAATACACAATACTGCTTGGAAATATCTAAACAAAATCATCTTAAATGAGTAGGAAGACAGCACAACAGCACAACAACAATACTTAACACCTCCGAGTTTAACCATTCTGACATTTAACCTATGCATAGTCCACAGACTCTGCACTGTGTGGACTTCCAAGTTGCCCAAGTACAAAAGATATCAGTGCAGATGAAAGAAAATCAAAAAGGTAACTATGTATAATGATCGTCTGGATTTTTCCACCAATTATGCAATTTGAGGACAATCTGGGAGAAATGTCCAAATAAGCATCAGGTGAACATTTGGATGACAGATGGATAGAAGTCAAGCTGGTAGTCATTTAATCTGCAGTTAGGTCTAAGAGGTTATCGCAGTAGATGTTGCCATATGTCCCACAGACAAGGAAGGCATTTACTAACACATGATATGGAACAGCTATACACTGAGTTTTCTCAAGGTCTAGTCTGGTTCAGGAGGGATGCTCTGAATGTGTGGAGTCCAACAGCCTTCTATGTGAATACATAGAGTGTGAATGCACACAGTGTGAACGCACATATAAATATTAATCTTAAAATTAAATATTAATATTAAATATTAAAAAAAGAATTTCAAGTTTGCTTTTATATGAGATAATAGCTAGTTCAGAGTAAAGAGTTAAAAAGCTGTATAATTACAGGAAGTATCATGAGATTGAATGCTGTCTGTACACATTGAGGCTTCCCCTCCCCCAACGTAAGTACAGTTTTAAAAGGTGAAGCATATTCCTACCTCTAATGAAAAGCACTGAAACTGTTTCCGAGTTTGATGTCAGTGACTACATATCCTCCAGAACTTTTTATTTCTTTTGAACAAAGCTAACCTCTATTCTTTAAAATTATACTTGAAATTAAGTTTAAAGAGCAATACAATAGTGACTGCTTCATGTTACAAGCCTGTGAAGAGTGAACTGACTGATACATCTGTATAGGATATTAATTCAAATGACCAATCATGATTACCTGATTGTTGACACACAATCATTTATTGGTATGACTGGCAATCAGAAAGTTGTTTGGATTCAGCACGGAAGGTGCTTAAAAATGGACTGCTCCGCACCTCCTATGCCCTCCACCAGCATGATCAAAAGTGGAACAGAGTCCTGAAATATCTCTCTCATCAACGGAAAAGGAACCCGCAGAGTGCTGTGGAACAGCCAAAATTCACGGAGCGGAAACCAATCCCAAAGAATCACACAATAGTAGCATAACTTCAGTTGAAAGGGACCTTTGTGGATCACCTACTCTAATGGTCTGCTCAGAGCTGGTCTAACCTCTGAGTTAGGTCAGCCTGTTCAGGGTCCTTTCCAATTGCATTCTGAATCTCTGACATGGAGATTCCACAGCCCCTCTGGCACCTGGTTCCTGAGCTTAATCACTCTCACTATTGATTTTTTTTCTTCTTTTATATCCAGTCAGAATTTTCTCTGTTGCAACTTGTGTCCATTGCCCTTGTCCTTTCACTGTACACTTCTGAGAAGAGGCTGTCTCTGCCTTTTCTAGCACGTCTGGCATTTGAACTTCACAACCTGCCAGTCCCTTTCCCCACCTCAGCAAATCAGAGAACAAACTTGCTCCAGTCAGTAGACGAGAGCGCCAACAAAGAAATCTTAGTTCTAAACTCCAGTCACAGAAAATTGTAACCTGAGAATTCCAGCTCTGCTACTGCATGAGGAAATATGGGAGAAATTCTCAGATATATTCACCTTCATGCTTTCTCCACGATGAAGAAGCACTAGTGGGTTATAAATGCAGCTCTTCTATAGCCTCAACTCTCTGTTGTTTTTTTTTTTTAATTATAGAATAGGATACCATAGCTGGGAGTCAAGATAAATTTTGAAATTTCAATCTGTAAGGATTGCAGAGCACGAAGTTTTTACGTAAAAAAACCCTGTCCAGCAACAGAACACTCTTTGAACTGAATTCTTTCTTGGGGATTTCTCTAAGTAGAAAACTGTGCAAAGCACCCACGGTTTAACTCCTGATCGTGTGATATAGGTTTTCTGAACAGCTTTTCCTTCTAATCTCTTTATAACCTCTTAGTCCAGCTCCTTGGTCCTCCTACACAATACAAAAAGCTACCTGTGGAAATTTAAAACACCCCCCAGCCCCTTTTGGTCTCTCACAATCACAGGTGAGGATGTCAACTCTGTAGGCTGGATTTCAAAACTGAATAAGCAATTTGGCTTTTTACAAGAAACCAAAAAACCCAAAACCAAACCCACATACCACACCGTAGATGTTGGGAAACTGACACCCTGATAATACAGGGTCTCCCTTCCCATGTCAGGATTTAGAAACAACTGAAAATAGGATAGAAATAACTGAGTAGAATACTGATCCTCATTTGTGGTAAAAACTGAGCATGTCTGATGTAAGCACAATTTAATTTATTTTTTGTTTTCTTGTTTGTTGCATTTAATGATCACATTTAACAATAAGGCACAAAAGAACACTACCTGGACATTCTAGCCTCTCTGGATAATGTACATAATCTAAAGTAAAAAAACCCAAAAAACCAAAACCAACCCCCACCAAACCACAAAAAACCCCAGAAGAGCAAGATACTGCTTTTTATGTGCAACTTATACACTCAGTTCTAGACAACGCTTTCGAATAAATGTGCTAGGGGTCTGTTTATTCTACTTCTATGAGATAATTACAGTATCCTTGTCTTCATTAACACTAGAGGAATATAAACTGTACTGTTCTAGAGCACAGAATGCATTAGTTCATGCTTAAGCATCTTCTATCTCCATGTCCAGAGGAACAGGATACATCTGCCACAGTACCTGCCTAAAATCACAGATAAACCAAATAAGTGATGAGATTGTAATAACATAACCGGAAAGAGGTCACCTACCTTTCTGCTTCATGGTGACCTCAAAAATTCTTTTTACTCTAAATTAATCTGACCATTTGGAGGAAGGAACACAGCAGGTAAAAAAGCTTTTGCTGGTAGCAAAGATATCTACGTTAAACAAAGGCCAGTGAATCTACTAGTAAAACTGCTTATCTATTAAAGAATCAACATGTAAGTGACAAAAAGCTATAGACAAAACAGGTGTCACCTATCCTGAAATGACTCCTAAGGCAACCCATGCCATAACACACTACAGCATAGGCAGTCTCTTACCTGAGCTGGTGAGCACACTCAGGGGACTGCTGGAGGAAGTGAGTGCAGCAGTACCACTCGGTGTATTCTGAGCTGCACTGGCCGCAGCTGCTAATGCAGCCAGGTTCTGCAATTGCATCGCATTCAGTCCTGCAACACATTGAAGAATGCACAGAGTTTCTCCTATAATAGTCACCATCACCCAAGCTTAACAGATCCAGCAACTTCAGCACATCACAAGGGAGTAATAGGAAGGAGCTTAAAAACAACAGGCTTAATACTAGTTACTGATCTTTTCTACATTGCGATTCCTTGTTATAACTAAGAAAAGAAGTTTTTCTTTGCCCAGATAGATGAGTTTCCATAAAAGACCAGGTAGTCATGATCCCAGATGTAGACTCCAGAGTACAGAAATTTTCAAGCAGTGTTCTCTCCAGGCACAAAAGCATTGCAGCTTTAACAGAGTTAAGCCAGGGTCTGACAACTCATCTGCAAGCCAGAGAACTTGTCTAGAGACCAGATCGATAACCTCCTCTTGACTCGTGTCCATCCACTCTCTTTGTATGGGAACAGCAATAACTGCAGAATTCTTTCAAGAAGGCCTACAGATCACCGTGGCCACAAAGTCACACCTTTAACCCACCATTCAGCTGAGTATCAGCACGTTTTGTTTGGTCCCCTTGGCAGCCAAGATGCAACAGTCAATTGTGAGACAATGTTAAGTGGCAACTCCTGACCACAAGATCAGCCAATGTACACGTAGGCTAGTCAGCTGGTCAAACAAAAGTGGTAAGGAAAATGGGAAACATCAGGTGTGTTGTGGGTAAGCAGCTAGGAATACTGCAGGGGGAGGAAGGTATCCCTGTGTTGATGACTTTTACTGGTTGATTTACTCATCTGACTCACCTTAATTTTGAGTCATAATTTTTGAATGAAACCATTCAGTCAGTACTGACACTGTAGTTTGCCCTCTTTTCCTGCCATGGGATTATCATCGATAGCAATTTTGTTCTGAATTCTGTATTTTAGCCATCCTTTGGTAGGCTAGCTCCTTTGGTAGGCTAGCTCCATTCTTCTAATTCTGCCTCTCTTCCCTTTTCCCTTATTTCCCCTTTTTGTCTCTACCTTTGCTTATTCTAACAATTCTTCCTCTTTTCCATCTGAATTCAGACAATCCCTAGTAATTTTTCCCTAAAAAAAAAAATTAAAACCAAAATTAAATTAATCACCATTCATATAACAACATCTGAATGTCCCAGGCAGATGTGGCACCTCATCTTTTGGATGCTTAGTAAGCACATATCTCAAATAATTAAAATCTCAGTTTTGTAATTTAAGTATGTAAACAGACAACATAAGAATGTAAGTGATAATGCAGTATAAACTATTTATTTTCTAAAAAACTTCTACTACCTTTAGCACAGTTTGTTTGGTTTTTTTTATCTTTTTCAATTGTTTTGTCTTTGTGACAGGGTCTGTTTCCCTAGCCACATTTACTGCCTGAAACAAGAGGATTCCGCCTTTATTTAGATTCTCAAGGTGTCATTGTAACATAAAAGCATGAAGTTAAAACCAAAGTTATATTTTTTGTTTTTATTGTGCTACAGAGGGTTAAAAGTACAAGTGAAGAACAGAGCAGCTTGCTTCCTTTCTGAAGCAGTTTGGCATGCGCGCACTGCACCTGTCCTCTTGTCATCACATTGTTTTCCCATCTGCTTTCAAATAGGGTCAAGATTAAATTCTGTCTACAAAGTCTGATAGAGTTTGGGATCTAATCACCTACTTAATTTTTCTTTCTATGAATTTCAAGAAGGGAGATCAGCTGAGATATTAACAGGACTGTGAAACTAAAACTCTTTCTGTGAAGAATCTGTGAAGAATTGGAATAATTCTTTCAAAACACCATGCAACGTGCTATTTATATATCCGAGTTCTCAATTTTTAAGGTGTTTTTTTAAATAGCGAAGACACAATTACCCTGGAAACTTCATAGGCAATCCCAGCTAGTTAGCCCCTTCCCCCTGCCCCAATCCTTATTGTAGTAACAATTAACATGAACTGCTGTACTGGTTTTCTCCTTTATTACCACTTGCTTTTAAACAGACAGAAGAAGGGGGGAAAAAAACCAGTATCACGCACATAACAAAATCTATTATAGATCACCACCACACAGGATATTAGTGAAACTGATTTTAAAAAAATTGCTTTTGGCAAGAGTCTTAGATCTAAAGAGCTCTGAAGAGGTCTAACATGAAAAAAGTATCATAAGAAGCTAAGGTTAGAATCAACCTCAAGTATAAATCAAAGTTCTTACAACAGAAAACATAATACTTTGCAAAAGCTTGTAGTTGTAACTGATGGGTGTACCAACACAAGTCAGATGTACAAAGACACGTTACTTTCTTAACATTTTTAGATCAACCTCTGCACAGACAGTGAACTACCGTACAACTCCAGAAGGCAATTTTAAAAGCTTAAAATGTTCAGTATTAAAACCAAAAGTATAGTTTTTCTGCCAGCAGAATAATTTACAGAATGCGGTGAATGGAGTAACTAACACGTGTTTTATTATTCCCCACCCTGTGAAGACAGAAGGGACAATTAATTTGCAGCCCCAGTACTGCTGTACTTAGTGAATATTCTGACTAGCAGTCCACAGCAAGGAATTTGGCTCATACCTATTAAGCTGGTATTTCCCTAACAGCAGTGGCATAGTCAATCGTAATTCAAACGAAGGAATTAAAGAACCTGAATGAAGGACTAGTTCACATTCCTACCAACATTGCATTTCAAACTTTGATGTATTTAAGAACAAAGAATTTAAAACGGGAAACCTAAGAATCCATTATCACTGAAAGACATGCACTAGTGCTTACTCCAAAACACAATGTTTCAAATATGCACCTGTTTGGATATACAGAGCCATCTTTTGGTACCCATAAGGGAAGATAATTTTAAATGCCAGAGGTAGGGGAGATAACCAGCATGCCACAACTTACCTTGGGGACAATGGTTAACTAAGATTAAGAAGGAACATCCACCCTTGTAGAAGAAGTTTCCTGTCATTCCAAAGCAGTGGGTAAACTCAGGACTACTTATTTCAAATGAGGTTAATGTGTCTACAGCCTTTTGGCTACTTTCTCTACCTTCCTCTTTTCTTTGGCACTGAATTTGTCTTCTGGTGGAAAAAACTCACCTCCCATTGGGTGGAGGCTGCTCAATGTGTTCAGGTTCCCAGATGACGCAGCTGCTGTCTGCTGAAGGAGCTGCAAATAAAGCTAGACATTACACCAAAAAACAAAACAAGAGTGAGAGTGAGGGCTGGCTCCGCTTCTGGGAGAAACTGCATCACACCACAGCCAGAGCGCCGTCACAAAGGGAACTCCCACTGCCCATGCACCACATTGTAGCAAAGCGTAAAGAGAATTTCCCTTACACAATACAGCCAGAGCACCACGACAGTGAAAATCCACGTTGCCCATGCATCACATCGCAGCCAAAGCAACAGCACAATGCTTTCCCCACTCAACATAACCAATGTTGAGGGAAGTTTATAGCTAATACACCAAGACAAAACCAGTAGAATCAGTAGTGAAAGAGAACTCCTATTCAAAGCATCTCAGGCAGGATTGCCACCACTAAGAATATACTACCTCAAGCCAGACTTTACAGCTGACACTGCCAGCACAGGACAAATGGCAAACCAAAACCAAAGAGCCACTGTGAGAGAGAACCCCCTCCACCTTCCTTAAGCACAAAGAGCCATGAGAGAAATTTCAAGCCTCAGCTCGGAAGCTGTTTAGAGGGATTTCCTATTCCTTTCTCCATGAACTATGTGTTGTTATAAAAAATTCCAATCTACCAAACCTAAAGCAGTAGTAAAAGAGAGAATGCCCCCACTTTAACAGTACACCATACCAAGAACGAGATGAAATTTTCTGTTCCCTAGACCTTATATTGCATGAACACAGTTCTCATAGCTACTCTGGCAACCCACAGGAGCCAGAGCACATCAGTTTATGAAAACTTCACCCTTTAGGGACCCAGCATAATCAACTAAAATCAGTGACACCTTCTGTGTGTCATTTTTGCTAAAGAGAGTAGTTTCTCTCTATTTTCTGTGTTTTCTTTTTTTTTTTTACTGTGCACTGTCAGCTCCTTGGCGCTTCCAACCTGATCACCTTTTCTATTTGGACAGCACCAAGTACTGTTCCAGGTTTCACTGGAAGGGGATGAGAGAAATCAAGGCTGAAAAAGGAAAAATTGAAAAGGAATACAAGAACTATGTCATCAGATAGACATGAAAAGGGCATTTATATGGGTAAACATATGAAGAAAATCTTCCCAGCACAAAGTCATTCTACAGAAGACATGGCGGGGGGGGAAGAAAAAAAAACCAAAAACGTTTCAGTAGTCAGGGCTACAGTGACTGGGGTTGAAATCCTCACTTATATGTATCCTGACTAGCTGTTAGCACATAACTTAATTTCAGCCTCCTCATCCACAAAATGGGGATTAAGAACCCTGCTCCTATCTATCAGGAGCCTTCTAAAAATGAATACATTAAACACTACAAGACAGTCAGACACTATAATCCCTGAAGAGATGAAAAGAACCCAAATCAGAAACTCACTGCTAAGTATTGGGGTCCAAGTGTGTTGAGACCAGCCAGGTTTCCCCATACTGAGGCAGCACTGATCTGTTGCATTTGTTGCTGGAGTTGCTGAGCAATTCGTTTCTGCTCTTTGTCCTTCTGTGTGTCTGCAAATTTTACCACAATGGGAGAAGAGCAACCCTGCAAATAGCAATTCAAACAATTACATACTTGCTATCCCCAGCAGTCACAAAAACACTGCATTAAGACCCAGTCATTGGAAGCATTCCCCTCCCCTCCCCCAACATGCATGCATACATACTTTTTTTTTTTCTTTCAAACAGCACATTTCATTAAAGGCTCAAAATCTCATTTGCTTTTAATTCTATTTTGTATTTTGGTATTTTCTCTGCAAATGAAGTTTCTGTCTGAAGCTCTAAAAATAGGAGCAGAACAAACGCAAAGGTCCAGGAGTAGTATTTGCGAAGAAACACACGCTGCACTTATCCTTCTCTCTGCTCTCTAGTCCTCCAAATGCCATAGTGACTGCCTGACAAATTACATCTTCTCCTGACACCCACTAACTTGTTTTACCTCCATGGTTTGTGCTTGGTGCATTGCTTTGATTGCTGTTTGTGCCATGGCTCTTGTTGTAAAAGTCACAAATGCACAACCTGGGGAAAGAACAAAAAGGAACCAAGTCATTCACTACATCCACAATTACTGGGATGAATAAAGAAATTAAAATTCCTACAACGGGGGGGGAAAATCACAGAAAGAGCTGAAATGCAACCTTGAGTTGCAAAAGGCAGCATCCAGTGGAGAACCTTGAACTGTCGGAAAAGCTTCCTGCTTACCTCGGCTCAGGCCATCTGGGCCCCGTAATATCCTGCATTCTTCAATCTGCCCAAAGGGGGAGAACATCACTCGGATATCATTTTCATTGCACTTCTTGGATATCATTCCAATAAACAACTTCCTATCTTCTACTGCTAAGAAATCAAAGGACAAGAGTATTACTAGCAAATATGTGCTTACTAGATCTTTTTTTGTCAAGTCTTCTCCATCAACTGCAGTTATTTCCCTTGTATTTAGGGTAGGGGCTTGTCAAAACCAGATTCCCAACAATGGAATCTCTTCAATTTAAGAGGATGCATATGAGATACCTCAATGAACCTGGAGGATGCCTGTTTTATGATGGTTTATGTTTACATTTTGCTGACTCTTTCTCCCCTGCAAGCCTGTAAACTGCAAGAATGTAAGAAAAAGAAAAAAAATGTATCAGATTCAGCACTTCCCTGAATCTCCTACATTCAGTTCCTGATGAGTGAGAGAAGACTTGTATGTATTTTATTAGACTTTTTTCATCCTCTCTCCTCTGTCTCTTCTACCTTTGGACTACCAACATACCTAACTGTATCTAAACAAGCAGAAGCTGCAGAAAGCTTCTTTCTAGCCTCTTTATCATGCCAATCACTTAAATTTAGATCTGCTTATTTCCTCATGCTCCTGTCTCAACAGTGGAAGCAACAGCAGTTGCTAAAACAGAACAGTTTTAGTTCTGTTTCAGATTCATCCATTCTGATCTGTACCAACAGCATGAAAGTAACACCTCAAATCAGAATGATGGACTGTGCTACTGTATCTTGCTGATGCTGATGCTACTAGATACATTAGCATTGAAGAATACCGTTCAGCGTACAGACTATTTTGAAATAAAAGGTCCAGAAAGACATTTCTCTTAACTTTTCAGTTAGTGGTTACTATCGTCAGTTCAAGGTCACTTAAGGGAGCGGGGTGAATTTGAATCCAGAGCAGAACTTTATACCTCTCGTTTTACTTATTTAAGGATGCTAATCACCTCTGAAATACTTGCTTTTAAAGGACAAAGCAAATTATGCAGAATACCATTTGGAAATATAAAACAGTTTACAAATACAACATTCAGCACAATATAAAATATAATATGATGAAGGCTGTCGCACTATTTAGTGCCATGGTGAGGTGAAATCAACTTATTTGCTGAGTCTTCTACGGTGTTAAAAAGGAAAATTCCAAACTACTCCAGCTGACATGACTTTAACTGACTATTAAATCTTAATGTTGTACCCAGTTCTCTTTCAAGCTCTTACAGCAGAAATCCTTTCTTTCCTTCCAAATCCTTTCTGCAGTCCATTTTAGTTCAAGAGATCCAGAATTGCTTTTATTAATGGCAAGTTAAAATACTTTAACTGACACTTTCTTATTTATATTTTTACCTACACCTTTTACTAAAACTCATACAATTATATAATAGCCTCAGAACTGTCACCCTAAAATTCCATTAAATACTTTTTTTCCTCTTTCCATTATTTTTCCAGGATATTCGCGTGCGTGTGTGTGTATAATGCAAGATCAATTTTACTTCAGAGAATCTATTCTGTTCTCCTCCCAACAATACTTCAAAAGAATTACTCCTTTCTAGATATATTTACACAGAAACATATTCTGTGTACACATGGAGGACTTTGCAGATGGAATTACTCCTACTGTATGTTAGCCGTATATCCCATCTTCTGTTTTCAATTATCTTAAGATGCAAGCTTTCTGGAACCAGGATTATCTTCTTCATGATGCAACGCTAATCTTATAGTAACTATGGCAAATGAAAAAAATAAAATTCAGCCAAGCCTAGAAAGGTTGGAACTACAAGATGCTAAACACTTTCTTTGCTTATCTTGCAGCAATATATATAGCCACACGCACATCTGAGCATGTATGTATGTATGTATATAAACTCGTCATGGAAATATATGGATAAATGATCATTTACCCAGTGGTAGATGCTAAATGACTTAATCCATCTGAAATGGCCAATGTGCAGAAATATACAACAGTTCAGCAGAGAAAAAACTGTGAGAATTCTCAATCTCCCTTGTATACTACAAGAAGAAGTTTTGACTCCCACCCCAGCTGCAACAGGCCTTGGTTGGTCAAATTGGTCAAGCACTTGAAAAAGCATTTCTAGATTTCACAGAATCATAGAATGGTTTGCGTTGGAAAGGACCTTAAAGATCATCTAGTCCATATACAACAGTTCAGCAGAGAAAAAACTGTGAGAATTCTCAATCTCCCTTGTATACTACAAGAAGAAGTTTTGACTCCCACCCCAGCTGCAACAGGCCTTGGTTGGTCAAATTGGTCAAGCACTTGAAAAAGCATTTCTAGATTTCACAGAATCATAGAATGGTTTGCGTTGGAAAGGACCTTAAAGATCATCTAGTCCCATAGGCAGGGATACCTTCCACTACATCAGGTTGCTCAAAGCCCCATCCAATCTGGCCTTGAACACTTCTAGGGAGGGGGCATCCACAACCTCTCTGGGCAACCTCTTCCAGTGCCTCACCACCCTCACAGCAAAGAATATCCGAAGAATTTCTTCCTAATATCTAATCTAAATCTACCCTCTTTCAGTTTAAAACTGTTACCCCTCGTCATATCACTTCCTATTCCTTCCCTGATAAAGAATCCCTCCCCATCTTTCCTGTAGCCCCCCTTTAAGTACTGGAAGGCCGCAATAAGCGCTCCCCTGAGCCTCCTCTCCTCTTCTCTAGGCTAAACAACCTCAACTCTCTCAGCCTGTCCTCATAGGGGAACTGCTCCAGCCCCCCGATCATCTTCATGGCCCTCCTCTGGACCTGCTTGAGCAGGTCCATGTCTTTTTTATGCTGGGGGCCCCAGAGCTGAATGCAGCACTCCAGGTGGGGTCTCACGAGAGCCGAGTAGAGGGGGAGAATCACCTCCCTCGACCTGTTAGCCCTTCTTTTGATGCAGCCCAGGATACAACTGGTTTTCTGGGCTACAAGCGCACATTGCCAGCTTATATTCACTTTTTCATCCACCAATACCCCCAAGTCCTTCTCCACAGGGCTGCTCTCAATTCACTCATTGCCCAGCCTGTATCCATGTCTGGGATTGCCCCAACCCCACTGCCAGACCTTGCACTTGGCTTTGTTGAACCTCATGAGGTTCACATGGGCCCACCTCTCTAACCTGTCCAAGTCCCTCTAGATGGCATCCCATCCCTCTAGAGTATCAACCACAGCACTCGGCTTGGTGTCATCCGCAAACTTGCTGAGGGTGCACTCAATCCCACTGTCCATGTCCCCAACAAAGATTTAAACCACCTTAGTACAAAGAAGAACTCACTGGATGTTTCCCTAACTGACAACATGGTTCTACCACAAGCAGAAGTGGGAGATACTGAGTCATGGAATTTTAGAGACATCACTTACACTACCTACTATACTGAAAACACACCTTTTTTTTTCTTTTTTTCCCCCTTTAAAAAAATCAGGTCTCCAATTCAAGAAGACTTCATCAGAAGCTGTTCAACAAAAGGAAAATCCTCAAGCTTCCCTATTAGCACAAATGACGCCACCAAACTCAGACTTTAGTACAGCTTACCATTACTCTTTTCACTGTCAGCTGGTTTCATCTGGATAGGATGGTGCATCTGAAATGTAAAAAGATTATTTAATCCTAGATGCATTCACTTTATACTATATGAAATACATCCCATATGAATTGTGGAAGAAAGAAATGGTAGCCTAAATTGCCTCTACAGAAGTGTGTATGTAACAATACATAAATTTTTAGAAGAAAGAAAAGGTTTCCTAATGATACGCCATCATTCCTCCTCAGAGAGTATTACAGGAGCCATGCCCACCTACTTCACTACCACATTATTCTCCCAAATGCTCCAAAATTCCCTTAAGATCTGTTATCATACAAATCTCAAGACATTGCTCTATTGAATAGTTCTTTGAAAACATGATTTGAGGTCAAGATAACATATGTTTGTACATCAGTGGTGCCAGACCTCAGAGAAACAAGATAGAGTTGCGAAGAAAGTGGCGCTCTTCTCTTACCCCTGGGAGGATCTTCATGTTGTGAAGAGCATTCTGTGCTTCTAGTGCAGCTTTACGGGTATAAAATGTAACAAAACAGCACCCTGCAATTGAAACAAAATGCTAGCCAAGAAAGAACACCATGAATCTTGACATGCTGTACAGAAATTGCAAGTCCCACTTCTATCCTTCCAATGCAAAACGTATGACAAGTAGAAGAGGTTAGACATTGAAATAGATAGGTACTACTGATTGTGACTATTTAAAAAAGATTTCTAAGTGTAATAAAATAGGATATATTCAGAACTAACCCAACATCACCAATACACCATTAAAACAAACATTTAGATACATCTGCCAAATAATTGTTGGCTACTTCTGTTATCAGACTCGACAATTATTTGCTAGTACCAAAAACTTACCTAGTTTCACAGGAAATAAGATACTGCATATAAGTGAACTGGAAATCCAGGTACAGCATTTAATCAGGATTTGATGTACACAAGTATTTGATGTATACAAATGACTAAGACCTCAATTTTATATTTTATCTGAAACTGTGACACTTCCAGCAACATTTTGGTCATACCATAGCATCACAATGATGCTCTGGAGCAACACAGTATTAATTTGATGTTCTGCTTTGCAATTATAATCCATACTCTTCAAGCATCCCCATTACTTCTGAGCTCTAAAAGAAAATTATGATTTTCCTCAGCCCAGCTAATGACTGGATCACAGTCCAAGTATAATTAGACACATACACTTAAAGACTATAAAGCCTGGGCTTGCATGCACACCTGGTTACACAGAGCTCTAACACACAGGGATGTCTGAATAAGCAAACAGCTAAGATTGTAACTATGTGAAAGCAGCTGAGACACCAAGTCTTACATGAGAAGTACAGAAGTTCTCACCTTTGCTCTGAGGAGGGTTTTGGCTCCTGTCCCTCAAGACATTGATTTCATAGACAGCACCATACTGTTCAAAAAGTTCTCTTAGATCCTTCTCACACCAGCTCCGTGGGACCTGACCCACAAACATCTTGATAGCATCTAGATCAGGTTGGTCTGGGTGATCCAGTGTGCCATTCATTTTCTTTGAGCTATGAAAAACAAGAAGGAATTTCTGGTTTATATCTTTCCATAGATTCTAGATGCTATTGCGGCTAGAAGCAGCATGTTTACAGAAAGATAAAAAGACATATTTCTACACATATATAAATGTATATGATTAAAATATACATATAAAGAGAGACTCTTGCACATTCCCAGTCCTGCATACCAGAGAATATTCAGAAATATCATTCACATTCATTGGCAAGCTGTGTACTTGGAAACCAAATGTTCTCTACACAGCTGTTTAAAACTTCTCTCTACTTTTGCTCCTATAATGTAGTCAACACCTGGGACTCAGGACATAAATCTGTTGAGATAACTGAAAAATATTACTAGTTCAACCGTGTAAAATTTTACACAAAAAGAAACCAGAACAGGAAGGAACTTAAACTCAGTCTACCCACAGACTACCGAAGTTATCAGTAACCAGTGAAAATGAGAGGATAACATTTTTTTCGTTGCTTTTAAGTGTGACTATCTGGAACTGTTTCGTAGGGTGAAGATTCATCTTAAAACAGATAAACAGGTACAACTGAACAGACGAGAATGTTCATTAAAGGTTTGCAAGGCAACAGCTCTTTCCGAAACTAGGGAGCTTTCAACGATATTTGGCAAAAAAAACAGGCTTAGGTCGTACATGAACAGGTTGGGATTGGACAATCTAGTTAGTCACTGACCAAATCAAGTTGAGTAATGGTAGGGTGTTAACATAGAAAAAAAGTCATTTCTTAAGACTACAACAACGTGGAAGTTTTGAATATGGGAATCTTCCATAGGCTTTAAGGCATTACATCCAGCCATACGAACAGTTTACAGCCTATTAATAAAATTGTGTTATACTCCACCCAGGTACTTGACAGTCATACACTGCTTTCTGTATTGACTTCTCATTGTTTGCCAAGTGAGGTCTTGTTATCAGTAGTCACAGCCTGGCATACCACAGGACCTATCTCTGTGGAAGACTGACTGTAATGACATCCTATTGTAGCCATAGTGATTAGTAGGTTAAAATTGCTGACCAACCCCTGCATAATCTAGAAAGGACATGGGGAGTGGAATAGTAACTATACAATGATTCCCCCCACCCCCAAACTCTTTGTTGAAGAATACAGGTGGCCTTCTTCCAGAGCAGTCAGCTCGCTTCATCTCTGCTTTTTTCCTTTAAAGATAGTTTTTGAATGGCTTATTAATTGCACATTACAGTAAACAGTGTTCCTCTCACTGTCACCTGCAATCATATTCTGCCCTGAATAGAATTTAAGGGGGGGGGGGGGGGGGGTTCTAAACCCGGTAATGTTTAGTTAATTTTTCCCCTCAATATGCTGCTGTTCAGAGACCAAGGGAAAACTGATGCTGGGAAAGCTCACAATTTTATAACTGTATGAACAGACCTCAGAAACAACAAAGCTTGTTACTAGAAGGGAAGAGAATCATCATAAATCCTTTCACTCCTCTCTACCTTTCCACTCAGAAAGGGTCAGCACCTCTCCAAATATCCAAGGGAAACAATACCTTTTACAAAGAGGTAAACTACCTCTTTGCATTCAATGTCTTTTCATTCCAATTGAGAACAACTGGAAATCATTAACCCTCTTCCAATAATAATTTTCAGCCCTGCCTTCTATACCATGGGTAGCTTCAAGAGCATAGCATGGCTCCTATTAACTGGGCAACTCTTAACACGACCTCAACAGTATTCAGGGAATCTTTCATTCCTAATCAAAAGGTTTAGTCTGGAGTCATTAATAGGGAAGAACAGAAACTGTTCTACCAACAACTGATTTAAATAACTGATTTTATAATATCAGCACCTGTAGCATACTATAAACAGTACTGCTAAATAGCTTTTATTCCTCCTTAGCCCTCATTCCCAAAATTATCAGATCATTTTTTCCCCCTATCCAGAATCCAACATCAATTGTCAATGCCTACTAGGTTTTCTTCAAGAAAACAAACTGCAAGCTCTTCTATCTCTCTTTTTCCCCCCACCTCAAGGGGAATTCAGAGAGCAGAGGCTTCAGAGACAGCAATTCCAACTATCACTTTAGTTATAAACTTAGACATGAAGACAAAATACTTACACAGGGCTAGCATTCAAGGAGCAATGGTCCACCATCATCTCTGGGAGGAAATCCAACTTGAACGCAGCCATCACCTCAATCTGTGACAAACTACTAACACTAAATCAATGTATTGCCTAACCCCCAAACAACACCACTTCCAAAAGTCCTGCAGGTCTTAACACTCAGCCACACAACAAACACTCAAACCACAGAAACAGAAGCTCAGGGAGACCAGCAATAGACACCACAGAAACAGGCTGGACTGGGAAAGGGAAATGGAATCCCAGATTAAAAAGGGGATGTGACCATGTGAAGGGAGGCTCAGCTTAATACACAATGAAAATGCTGATGCACTGGGCTTGTTTTGTGCAATTTTCCCTGGCGAAGCAGTACTGAGTGCACTGTCAGATAAACAGAGTGTCAGATCCATGAAGATAGCAATGGGTAACAGAGCAGAAAGAATACAAACTCCAGTCTTTCCATCCCCAACTAACTCCTTGACTCCCAAAATGGCAGTCCAAGGCCTTGAGGTTCAGACAGACACTTCCCTTATCACCAATATTAAGGTATTGGTGATATTAAGTCAAGAAGTTCCTTCACCATAAACGTTTTCAATGGCTGATCTCACTCTTTTCACCTTGTGCACTATTTCTGACTGTCTCCTAACTTCTAGGGAGAAAAATGCCAACTAAAATGTTTCTCTGAACCTGCCAAAAAATCAAAGCTAAGAAGATTTGATTACTCAAAAATTCCTTAACTACCACAGAACATCAAAACCTACTCCTTTTATAGGAGCAAAACATACATTGTTCTGGAAACAATACTTTGCCCATCATGCATCCCTAAATCCAGAGATATATAAAGCCTATAGATGAGAAAGAAAGGGAAAAAAACACAGTGATTTGTTGAAAACTGTATTATAATCTTTGAAAACACTGATCAGAACACCTCAGCTGCTTCATCATTAAAACAGGAATAACATGTTGATCAACGAACTGTGAGGTGTATTTATACACACAATACAGACCTCTTGTAAAATCTCCAATACCCAAACTAATGGGGAGATAACCTGGATAATACTGGATGCATTAGGAGATGCAGAAATATTTGATTGCAGAGAGCGAGTGCTGCAGAGGCAGCTGGGTATGTCTGAGCACTCCAGGAGAGATGATTAATTCAAGTCCAACATGAATCCAGATAAGCCTTACATATACGGTCGATATAACCACAAAATAGACTCTTAGAGCATCAAGGAATGCATGCTGGGGCAGCTGCGATCACTTCTTTCTTGTCTGTCAATGACTGCAACAGGTACTTGCAGTTATTTAGACTGGTCAGTATATACAGCTTTTTTTATGCTTGCACAGTTACAGCATGTCAATTATTTTTTCATAAATAACCATTTCCAACCTCTGGAAAAAAAGAACGTTTCTGATCTTCTGCCTACAATGAGGTTAATTAAAAGGTTATCAAAAGGAGGTACAGGCCTCGTAATACAAAGAGGTATGCATGTTACTGCAAAATAAGAGAGGACGTGAATTTAGCATACATGAGATATTCAACAGTAACTACTTCATGCATGCTCTTACTATGTGGTAAATGCAAAAAATCTTATTCTTTAATGAAAAAGTGTAAGCTACCTGCTAAGCACCACTGTTAAGAGCATGCAAATAGGCACTAGGGAGCACAGGTCGATTTATTAGCTTTCAGTAAATTGTTCGTATCTACCTTCAGATACATCTTACAGGCTTCCAACTTGAAAAATGCCATGTTGTGTAAAACACATCATACTCAAATGTTAAATTGAGCCTGGAGCCCACTTTATGGATTTCTCTAAAATGAGCCCACAGAGAGAAACACTTCAGGTTTATATGATTAGAACAGCAGAAGATACGGTGGGGTTCTTGCCACTGTTCACAAAAATGTATAGACCAACACTGTCAATTCTGGTCTTATCTATGAAGACCAGAATTCATTCCTTCTGGTCTTCCAGTCATCTTTAGCTTTTTTAAGCAGCCAGTAAAATACCCCAGCAGCCAAGCTCACTGTAGGTTCGATGAAAGATGATGCTGGCAACAGATACTCTAGAAAATGGATTTTAAAAAGGTTACTGAGATTGATTAGTTTACTGAAGAAAATCACTAAGTCATTATGATTTGATCCTACGCCCACCCTTTCCCTCATCTCTCTGCTCCCCAAAATGGAAGTCATATCTGCTTGTTCCATTAAGACAAAACTGCAACAAGTTACAGGCATTGTCACACTGTTATATCCCATGTCAAATTCAGTCTACTGGCTTTGGTAATTAATAGTTTTGTGCAACTATCCCGCTACATATTAATTTTTAATTCCTGTTATACTTTAATTTCTCCTGTGATGTGCTCACTTCATTTAATGAACAGTGCCAAAAACATTTCACATGCTGTTACGTACAATTTGGGGGAAAGGAAGAATCAATACTAGAATGGTGAGTAAATACCTGAAGGTATGTTAGCCAAGACTCAGTGCCTCAGGGTACCATACTTCTGCAGTAATGATGGCAATTTCAGTGACAAAACACTGGTGTACAAACAGGTTTGTTTTAACATTATTTAGCTGAAGGTATCAAGCTAGTAAAATTAAAAGATTTACGGATGTCACTTGTGAAAATATCAGAAAGAGTGGAAAGACGGTATTTCGCTACTGCACAAAAATAAAAAGAATTAAATGAGGAAGTAGTGTTTCTTTGGAATTATAAAACCCACAAAAGTCACCCTAGCCATTGCTCACACAGAAAGAAAGAAAAATAAGAGGGCTAAACACACTTATTTTTTGCTCAGATGTCAAATTCCTGC